TATTTGTATGCCGTCCTTTGCAAGAGCCTCAGGACGGCTTACACAAATAAAATTCTGAAGTACATAAACAATATAATATAAATAAATCGACAATCCACTCTGGCTACATATTAAAACACTGTATTCAATATTAAAACTCGATTTCCTGTGATTCTTGCTGGTTTTTTAAAAATGAAACAAAATAAGGTATTTTGTTGTTCACTTTTATAATAAAATGACTAACAATGCAATCCTGTGTTTATAGAGTGGCTATATATCACAAAAATAAGTGTGTATAGAATGACTTGAACTTAATATCTATCTATACTAAATAGCTGACAGAGAAAATGAAATTAAAAATATGCCATCAGAAACTATTTATAGGAGAAATATCAGTAAGCTACTTGTATTATTTCTAATCAGCAAGCAGTCATGAGACTATTCAAATAAGAGACTTTATGTGTCAATTCATAAATGAGAAATGGAGAAGGCATGTCTAAGTAACACTGTTTTTGACAATATGCTTTCCTGAAACATATTGCTGATCAGTCAAGTGTTTACATGCATTTTGTCCTTCTGGACTACAGTGCTTCTATTACATTACTAAAAAGTGTTATAGGATTGCCCAGTATTTACATAATCAACCTATTTTACAGTACTAAGATTTTCTTAAATATTGAGGTTTTAAGTCAGGAGTTCCAAACTTGAGCCCCTCTAGATATTGAGCTCCAACTTCTACCATATTTGATTATTGGCGCTGATGGGAGCTGAAGTCCAATAAAACTTTGAGGGCAAGAAGGTTCTCAACCCTGTCCTAAATCACTGCTACAATTTGGTCCAACAGGAAGTACAGCTTTACCTCATGGGTTTTGCCAAAATGTGCAATTAAGTTGAACGGGTACAGGCAATCTTTGGTTCTTCATTAATGCCCTGATCCAACAAGGAAAAGTAAATATTTAAACTTCTGCATTACAACTCATATTCAAAAGAACCGAGTGCCTCAATACAGCACTAAATTACTAAATCAGAAATTTCTCCAATTCTTGAGCAAATGTATAATCAACATTCATAAAGATCTATCACTAAACTTTTTAAAGATAAACATATGCCTTAAACATCCCATCTCTGAGCTAGATGATCCACTGGATTTCTTTTGCTCTATACTATACAGTTAGCTCCGGGTCCACACAGTGTTTTAAGCAGGGGCCAACAACCTGCAGCCCTCAGCCTACTTTCATACAGCACCTGGCCTAATTGCAAAAGCTTTCTGCATGTGATCAGTTCACACACATGTGCTTACATGGATGAAATAGGGGAGCACAGCCATACTGCGGCCTTCCTATATCCACAGACAGGTGGCTTCTTATCTATTACATCTTTAAACTAACCAGGTTATTCTACACAGTTATTCCTTCTTGAAGAATTGTTTTAACTTCAAAAAATCCGCAAGTATATGTGCCTCAGGAAGCAAGTGAATGAGAGCTGCCAACATGATGCAGTGGCAGCTCCACAAGCATAAGAAGGGCAGGGCATTGTCACTAAGTGCAGGCAGATGGGTGGAGTGATTTATATTTGTTGCTTCCCTGACCTCAGTGTTAACTTGCTTTTTCTTTACTGGAAGGGATAAGCAAACACAGACTGCAGCACCAACACAAGCTTGCTTCAGAAGAACAAATGACAGAGGCTCTACAATAATCCCCATCTCCTGTGTACTTTAAATAGTACAAATATGACTCATTGTATTCACAGTAAGAAACATTAATCCAAACACTGAATTTGTTCCTGGTCCACTCAATGAGGGAAAGCTTAGAACTGATTGATTCGAACTCTTTTACAGGTAACATGTAGAATCATTGTTTGTGCTGTCGGGACAGCCTGTAATAGTCAGATGGCCATGAAAGCTGCCACTTCCAGTCCTCTTTCAAGGACTCAGTAGTAGTTTATTGAACATACAGTGACCTCTTATATGACTGGTCCACTTGGAAAGCAAAATAACCATGAATTAAGTAGTCACAATTTCATCCCATGAGAACAGTTCGGCATCTCCTTAGTTAACAAACACATGCAAGTGTATGTGCTTTTATAAGCAACTTTCCAATTTAATAAGAAGGAAGACAACATGTGTCAGGCTGCTTCCCACATAATGCCAGATCACAGCCTGGCACTGGATGAATGAACCATATGTATGTCTTCCTCTAATCCCTTGCATGCATTCTTGTAAATCAGTTATTCCCATGGAAAGCAATTCAACATTCTAACATTCTGAACCAACTTCTCATCCAATCTGCTGGAGCTTGCAACCTGTAATTTCTGTGAAAGTAACCAATCAAAACAAAGCCTGCAAGGAGTGGAACAGACTATATGAACCCAATGCTCATTCATGTAATGCCAGTTTACTGTTACATGTGAACTTTGTTAACTAAATGAGGAAATTAAAGAAAATATAAAGCACTCACATAACAGTTAAATACACAGTTGTTAAAACCATCTTTTCTATCTTTAAAGGATTAACAAACCATTATTTCAGATTTATCAAAATAGAACCTCAAATTCAGGGTAACAGATACACACCTCTGCTCCTGTGGACAATGTGTAAGGTACCAAATCCTCAAATTTTCTTCAGAACCTTTAGAGATTCCAGCCTAGCAATTCAGATCATCCCGTCCCCTGAACATCACAACAATATGTACTTGTGCCAAACTCTAATGGCAACGTCACCACTTAATAAATGTTTGAATAGTTTTATTGATATATGCCTGCACTATCTTCATTTCTTAGTTGGATATCCAGCAAAACATACAAGGCTGGATCACACTGAAGAGCCCTCCTGGTTAGTTTGCCAGCCCAAGACTTCTATGTGTTAGTTACTCTAATGATATTTTCTACTGACACTAGGGTTTTTTCCCCAGAAATTTCATTTCATTCCCATCTTAAGTGTCCACACAAGTTTTTAATCGGAAGAACAGAATCTAAACAAGCATGTAAGAACTAAAATGCCAAACTCTGAGTTCATGTGTGATATTAAAACAACAGCAAAATATAAAAGGCATCTGCATTTTAACTGCATGGCTGATGGAATATCTGAGTATTTTAGTCAACATAAACATTTTGGGGAGCTGACACACAGTTCCCTCCCTGTCCCTCACTCATACTAAGAGCAGGAAGTAGAAACACATGGCCTAGCAGTCTATTTTGATAAATTCTGTGTTGCTAGTAACAAAACTTCCCCTCTAATATTTACACTTGGTCTTTATGCTTTTAAAGCTACAGCCTCACCCCTCCTTACTTCTCTGTTATATTGTCCCTGACCTCTGCTCCTCCAATTCCACCACTCAGCTAAAGATCTAATGTTTTCTTATTGACTGCACAGATTCTCTGGGGCTACCCCAGAAAAACTTTTTGCCTGATGCCTAGAAGTTGCCGTTTCCTCCCAGCATATTTGAACAGTTCCACCTGTTTTTCTTCTTTCAAACCATAACTCTCCTTCTGAGAAACATTTGGCTTAACCCTTTAGTCCTCTTCCTATGAAGAGGAAAATTAGCATCATTATATTACATTTCTATACTGCCTGTAACCGAAGCTCTCTGAGCAGGTCAACATTTAAGTCACCCATCCAGATTAAAATCAGGTCTGTGTTACTTGTGTTCAACCCTTGCTCATGTTACTTGTCCCTTCCATTGGTTTAGTATGCTCCTTCTCTTGCCTAGGTTCAATTTGCCAGATCTTTGGGGCAGAGCCCACTTTGATTGTTACTCTTTAAACCACTCAACTATTTAAGTTGTACATGGCATCAATGAAGTGTAAGCAAAGATGCAACTGAAATGGGCACAAAAACTTATGCCAGAATCAATTTGCTTGACTTTAAGGAATCACAATACTTTGTGTTGTTTTTTGACACTATAAACTAACAAAGCTATCCTTTGGAAATGGCTAAATAAAGTGTTCTGGTCATACTCTTTATCTGTCAATTCCTGTCCACTTTTATTATCAACTGTACTTCTGCATCAGGGCCACAGAGTGGAGGCCAAATATGGTCCTATTGAAGTCATGAGGAATGCTGCAAGATGTTGCTTGCAGCCATCTCCCCTTAAATTTTGCCATCCCTTAATCACTGTGTATGGATCACATGTATCCATACACACACAACTTCTGCACCAAGCATCGAATAAAGGCTTATTTGCCACTAAACTTAAATAAAAGTTCAACAATTTCAAAAATGATTTGTGCTTTCCAAGTAACCTGGGTCTTATGATAAACAGTAGACCACTGGCTTTACTGAAACATTTCATGACTGAAGAGCCTGTAAGAGGCAGATTTTCGTTAAGAAAAAACTGAACTAAACCTTCACCATCCCGGATAAGGCACTGCATGCATCACAATGCTTCTCTTATTTTATATATTCCCAGAAATCCTGTTTATACAAGATTCATAGCTGCAAGACCATGCAATTTCAGAAGTAGCACGTGAGCAGTCGTTTTTAGAAAACCTTTTTTTGCCGCAGTATGAAGCAGTTTTTTAATACCAGACGTGCTCTGGCAAGACTGACGAAGAAGTTTATCTAGAGCAACCATACTTTTCACAACTAAGGGGAAAAGATCAGAGCAACACTGCTTAAACTACTCCAACGACTGAGATCCACACGTGCATTTGAACAGAGCGCAAGAGGAGAGCCATATGGCGATAGCCCCAGAATGGTCGTCCGGTTATGCTTTTTATATGCTGCCCCCTGGAAGTGACGGATTTACACCCCTAGTTCGCGCTGGAAGCTAGAGGTGCGGGGCGAGCGAAGCACCTCGAGCAGCCGGCACCCTTTGCAACCGAGGTCTTGCTCCCAAACCAAAGGAGGGAGAACCAGGAAGGACACGTGGACTGACAAGGAGGGCGCGGCCTACAGCTGGTCAGGCCGTGGCAAGGCGCTCGGCTTGGGACGGGGGCGACCTCGAGGTTTCCCGCCCTTGGAGCAGTTCGTGGAAGGGAGAGAGGTGGCAAGAGAGCACAGCTCCAGCCTGCGCCGCACTTACTTGGACACATGGCTTGGCTTTTCCGGGGGGATTCCTGAAGAAGGAGGTGCGGGCGGTGAAGAAGAACTCCTCGGACTCGGACTCTTCCCAGCTGCTGTAACCGCTGCTCATGCTGCTAGTCCACGTCATGGGCGCCGCCGCTCGCCGCTGTTCCTGCAGGGGCCCGGAGGCGTCCCCCGCGCTGCCGCCACATTGGGACCCGTCGCCAGGCCCGGTCTCGGCGGCACGGAACTCCAGTTGCTGCCGCAGCCTCCTTGGCGGCGCCCTCCGGCCAGCGCGCTCTCAAGTTGATACCGTGCAGGGCCGCCCTGCCTGAACCAGCACCGCCTCCCAGCCGGCCTGTCCCTCCCCCGGGCGCCCGCGACTGGACGGCTTCCCCGGCGGCCCTTCTCTCAGCCACCTGCCTGCAGCGGGAGTGGCCGCCTCGCCCTCTCCTCCGCCTCCTTTTCCTGTGCAACTTGCTTCAGGAGTGAACTTGCACGCCCTGTCCCCGGCAGGTGAGCTGGGAGGACACGACACGTCCTGGCCGGCCTTCGGTGGCCTCCCAGGGCGCTTTTGTTGTGGAGTGCCTTGTAATCCTTTGTCAACGCGCTGGCCGAGCTGCCTTGATAGTCGAATATCCGCCTGAGATACTCAGAGTTTTGTGATGCAGATGAAGAGAGAAACACTTAAGGCAGATGCAGGGCTTAGCACCATAAAGCACTGTCTGGAGCTCCAAGGCATCACGGCTCCTGCGGATTGCAGTGGCTGTCCCCTTAGGGGATATAACACTGCTTTCCAAAATGCCAGCTTTTACCAAGGACGGAAGCCTTACAGCTTTTTCTCGCTCACGCACACACTAGTCCCAAATCTGCATACAAGTAGTTGTTAGGAAGAGAAATAGATAACCACCCATTATAAAAGTATTAAGAGGAGGAGACGTGCTATGGAAATGGTGAAATAAGGGCCATAGTCCTTTACTTATTCGGTCGCCCCACTGAGTTAAGTGGTTTCCATAGGACTCTTACAGCAATGAAACAACGAAGAGTCTTGTAGCTGAAAGACTGATCGATCTGTTCTGGCACAAGTGGGCTATGCATAAAAGCTTAATGCCACAATAATTTTTTTTAAGTTGCTGCAAGACTCTTAAGACGCTCTGCTGTTTTTGAGTCCAGCGGGATAATCCCAAATTAATATGCAAAGGATCAGGCTATTCACTAGCTCCAACTTCATTGCAGTACACATTCATGTACATGTCTTACAATAGAGTGGCTAGAGGGACACAGCACAGTGACTGCAGTCGACAAAAACAGAAAAAGAACAGATAGTCAAATAGTTCGTTCCGTCTGTGCTGTTTATAGTTTTAAAAATCCAGGACCATAAGATCCTATGGAAAGTAACATTCCATTCTGGAGCTAAAGCATTCTGAAGCAAAATTCTTTTCAGATGCCAGCAGCAACACTGCTATAGATAATTGTTTTAGTAAGGCACCCTTGGCAATCAGTCTGAACTGTTAGAGGATCTTAGTAAAACAACCTGATGGTCAGCATGTTTACCATGAAATAAGTCTGAGTGTTCAATGGATTGTTTACTTGCTTGATCTCTATTTCTGCAGGCCTTAGATAAACACTCTGCTACCTGTTTGTTCCAAAGTACATTTTAAAATTGAAATTCAAGATGTACTAATATTATTTTGTATATTTTTCTATACCAAGGAATTTTAATCTGAGTTTTAAGCGACAGCACAAAAATAGTAAGTATTTTTAATACTTGAAACTATTGATCTTGACAAAATAAAAACCCAGCAAATATATACATGTTCTAAGCTGAGTTTCGAATAAAGTTTCAAAGTCAAGCATCCAAGTGATTCCTACCCTGAACAACTAATTGCAGGTTGTCAAGATGAGGAGGAAGGAGAAATAGCAAAACCAGTTGTTATGTGAACACTGTACTGTCTGGTTTGTAACAGCTAATATATATTAAGGTGCCTGGAATTATATTGCTTTAGAGTAGTGTCTGCACTTGCATTCATAAAAGCCACTGGCAAAACACTTAACCAGATCAACAAGGGAAGGGTTGGGCCTAGAAAAGACAATGCTTTGCACTAGTTTGCTGCCAAATATTACAATATAGAGGATATGAACCTATGTTCTCATAGCACAAATTCTTAAGTAAATTACTCTGGGGGTAGAAAGCATGCTAGCACTTCTACCAAATAATTCTGAAACATGCTGTTTCTAGATTATGGGCTGATTTGCTTGCAGAGCATTAAAAATAATTGGACTTGAACTGCATAGTGAGGCCCTATTTCACAAGGAGTTTATGCTTTGTGTGAGATGGTAATTATACTTGATTACTGATAAGTTATGTTGCATATTCCTTGAACCAATGCCATATAAACCAGTCAGTTAAAAGTGAGTGTTGTTTCTGATAGCTCCAGACAAAAGTCTGTTGCAGAAGGAAGTAAAGTAGCCCTCTCATCATGGAAAGTGATGGGTCTTTTAGATAAATTGCCTCTGTTTATATCAGGTTTCTAAATAGCTGTTCACCTGACCACTTGTGGCAAGAACTTCCTTCAGTCAAGCAGACAAGCAGGCTTTTATGAAATAGGATAGTTGTGTGTCTTTTTTTTTAATGTCACAAGTTACTACATTCCTCCATCATCAAATTACTTTTATCGCAACCTGTACTAAATCCTCATTATTTCTATTATTTTTCCTTTGAAGTAACTATTAACTTGGTTTAGGGCACAAGCCTTTGCATGTTGTAAACTGCCCAGAGATTTTGGGCTACTGGATAGTATAGTAATGGAATTAAATAGATAAATAAATAATAGAAAGAAACCCTGCATCTCCCAGCATTCCCTAACTAGTCTGTCATTTTATGCCAAGAGGGAGGAACATGGAGCTCTGCAAAGCAGTTGGATGGCCAGTTTGGTGGCCTAACTGTGACATTGCTAAGGGGATGCCATGTTATATCTTGGTGGTACTCATTTCCAGCTGTCACTGCTCCCAGGAACACCCCCTAACCCGTTATGACGCTGGGTAAACAGACAGCACACTTCTTTCTGCACTGGTTGCAAGAGGAGCAGGAGGGTAAACAGATCCCCAGATCCAGTTTTGGAACTCTTTTCCAGCTTCAGATCTGGTAATCTGAATGATCCTATGGCTATTTATACTCTTTTCAGCGCCAGGCCAAAACCGTTTTATTTAAACAGTATTTTAAGAATTAATAGTTTTTAAGTTTAGTCACTCTGTTTGTTTTGTGATGTATTGTTTTGCTCTGTTTTATTATTTATTGAAATTGTTGTTTTAATTATCTTTTTAAATTTTGTAAGCCGGCCTGAGATCTTGTGTAATAGGACGGCATACAAAAGCATTTAATAAATACATATTGACTAGATCTAGGCCATAGATCTATGGCCTTCCTTTTTTCTAAGAAAGAATTCAGAGTGGCTTACATCATTCTCCTTGTTCTACTCTCAAGTCTTATCCCAGATTGCCCAAGTCCCAGCCCCCTTCTCTTCACCACCACACCACACCACACTAGCTCTGTGGATGCTGTCCAGGGGTAGTAGTATTGCTTTGTTAGTCTATCTAGATCCTACAAAAAACCTTCGGAATCATTTTTCATTTTTATTCTAGCCCAGCAAGTTTTGACATGAATGAGACAACATCTTTAATATGGATGATAAAGAGTATGGAGATGATTTTATACATAACTGGTCAAAAGTCAGATTTGTTCATATCTACAAAGTTAATGAAATGCTATATCAGAAAACAGGAACCGCAGCAAAAAAGGGGAGGGGATTTAAAACACTACCTTGCACATCTGGAGCACTCAGTATTTTGTTCCAGTAAAACACTTTGAAGTGGCAGTGTGGTAAGAGGTTTTAGTTAATACTATGAATGTTGGAGGGAAGGAAGCAGAAAGATAATTATCTGTCTAGAAAAGATCACGGATCACAGCATCTGGTATTCTAAGATTTAAATTGGCTGGCTTGGCAAGAGTGGGGGGAAATTGGGATACAAATGTATTAATAATAAAACTTTGAAACACTGTGATAAACTGACAATTCTAACAGGTAACTGTAATCAGTTAAAATGGGTGGCAGATCTGACAGTATGTTGATCTGGATCGATAGGTAGCATCCTATGTGATTTGCAATGGAGAAGCACAAGTTGCTGACTCCGGACTGTTTAACAATAGCAGCCAAATAAGTCCAATGCCACATTAAGTTATACTGCTGAAATAAAGAGCACTTGTAATAAAGAGTGGATTTTGAGTGAAAGCTCTGTGAGCTGTATTCAGTTCTGATACTTGGAATGATTCCTGAATCTAAGCACGTATCTTTTGCATCCAGTACTGTTTGGTGCATCTTGTGGCTTCAGGGGGGAAAAAGCAGATCTCAGATCTGCTCTGCTCTCAGTTATAACTATTTCTTTTCTGTTTATTGTCACCAGAAAATCAGTATATAACCATTGGGTTGTCTAGTTTTCATACCTCTGATTAAGATAAACCATTGTTTTTGTTAGTTGCGAAGTCGCAACTTTGCAGCCTATTGCAACCCCATGGACAACATTCCTCCAGGCCTTCCTCCTCCACCATCCCCCAGAGTCCACTTAAGCTCACAAGATAAACCATACATGGAATCAAAAATGCTCCAATTCCTGGTAATAGGTGTCATATAAAAATTATATGAAAAACTGTTGGGAGAATTTTCAGTCCTGAGGTCTTCTACAGCAAGGAAATGGACAGAGCAATCCCATGAACCAATGATAGGGGTGGGAATACAGTGGAAATGCGGTTGCTGCAGCCACAGAGCAACCTGTGTATTCAGTGACTGCTCAGGCCAAGGGAAAGCATAAAACAAACAGAACAAGCAGCATTGCAATGGCAAACACTCCATGCACCCGCAGAAACACTATCAAAACTATCACAATAAAACCCAATTTCTGGCTGATGCTTTTCACACATAAAGAAAATGCCAAGCTTACCTATCTTTTTCCAGAATAACCAACCAATCAAGAACTGATGAATTTAGTGCAGACATTCATGCACGTGGAAATATACAACAGCTTCCACTAGAAATACCCAGGGATCAGTCAGACAGCATTCCATGACCAGAATTGCATGTTCAGTCCTTACTGGGTTGTTCTAGCTTCCCTTCCTCTGAGCATTTTCCCCCTAGGATTTGTTTGCTTTTGTTTTTTTAACTTCCGCAAACCTTGGAGTTGCCCCAAACTGATTGATATCTCCCTCTTGTGCACAGATTGCTAGTATTATTCTGGCTAGTAAGGTCTGGGCCTTGGAAATTAAGCTTT